ATCGGGCCTAGCAAGGAGAAGGAGCATCAGCAGCATCACATCAACTCTTATACGCGAAAACTCGAAAGAGAGCTTTGCCGCTCAGGTGAGAGGCACTTGAGGAAAATAATATGCCTTCTCTGAACTGAAGCACTACTACATAATCACAAACTTTAGTGGTAATGAAGTCGATGGAATAGAGCACAGTGTTGGAGTAGGAATATATCTCAGCTGCTGAGGAAAGCGATTACATATATTCCTACTCCAACACTGTATAGGAAACTCCTGAGCTCAGGTGCTGAGGAAAGCGATTACATATATTCCTACTCCAACACTGTATAGGAAACTCCTGAGCTCAGGTGCTGAGGAAAGCGATTACATATATTCCTACTCCAACACTGTATAGGAAACTCCTGAGCTCAGGTGCTGAGGAAATCTATTACATATATTCCTACTCCAACACTGTATAGGAAACTCCTGAGCTCAGGTGCTGTGGAAAGCGATTACATATATTCCTACTCCAACACTGTATAGGAAACTCCTGAGCTCAGGTGCTGAGAAAAGCGATTGCATATATTCCTACTCCAACACTGTATAGGAAACTCCTGAGCTCAGGTGGTGAGGAAAGCGATTACATATATTCCTACTCCAACACTGTATAGGAAACTCCTGAGCTCAGGTGCTGAGGAAAGCGATTACATATATTCCTACTCCAACACTGTATAGGAAACTCCTGAGCTCAGGTGCTGAGGAAAGCGATTACATATATTCCTACTCCAACACTGTATAGGAAACTCCTGAGCTCAGGTGCTGAGGAAATCTATTACATATATTCCTACTCCAACACTGTATAGGAAACTCCTGAGCTCAGGTGCTGTGGAAAGCGATTACATATATTCCTACTCCAACACTGTATAGGAAACTCCTGAGCTCAGGTGCTGAGAAAAGCGATTGCATATATTCCTACTCCAACACTGTATAGGAAACTCCTGAGCTCAGGTGGTGAGGAAAGCGATTACATATATTCCTACTCCAACACTGTATAGGAAACTCCTGAGCTCAGGTGCTGAGGAAAGCGATTACATATACTCCTACTCCAACACTGTATAGGAAACTCCTGAGCTCAGGTGCTGAGGAAAGCGATTACATATATTCCTACTCCAACACTGTATAGGAAACTCCTGAGCTCAGGTGCTGAGGAAAGCGATTACATATATTCCTACTCCAACACTGTATAGGAAACTCCTGAGCTCAGGTGCTGAGGAAAGCGATTACATATATTCCTACTCCAACACTGCTTAAATTCATCACATCATTTTAACAACCCTTCCCCAATACTACCAACACCCCATAAGCTCAGTCGTCGTACTCCTACTGCAGTTAATCCCTCCATCGCGTTGAAAAAGGGTAATACTGATTAAAACAAAAAGTGAATAACATGTAACGCATCGCTCCGCTGCTGAGAAAATGCAAGATTTTGTAAGTGCGCAAGCTTTACTCTTGTGTTTCCATCTCATTTTCTGGAGTTGATTCCTTAGAAGAACGACTCGCTCTCAGCAGTTCGGGTTTCGGGTTTACCATTCAGCTGGTCTTCCTTGGATTCTGTACATTACCCCATTTTCGTTGAGTTGATTTTCAAATATAATTCAGTTTTCACTTTGAAAAATTTCATATTATTATCAATAATATGAAATTAGGAAGACTCCTGAGCATTCTGGCAGCATCGCGGATGACCTACTCGACGACCAACACCTCTCGAGTGTATCACAAGAGGATTCGTATGGTGTGCGTATGTGTATTTGTAGGTCACTTGAAGGAGTTATGGTAGGGATAAATAAAGAGGAATTGCAAAAGACTATTAATCTGTTGATTGATCAGAAAATAGCTGCTGAATTGAAAGTGAGAAAAAAGATACGTTTATGGGGGAAAAATCTTCGCTGTGCGCAATCAGGGAGTGCAGGAAGAGAACGCCAGACTACGCGAGGAGCTTGATGACAATCGAAGGTATCTTAGGTTGCCGCGTGCAAGATTCAAAGTAGGTCCGAAAATGTACCATATCTTTTTCAGGGCATTTGAGGAAAACTCCAAATCTCGACGACTTTACTACTTGACCGAAGCGAAGCAAACTGATGTGGTCACTGGTCAGCTCACGAGTACGATGTGGAGGATCCTCACTGGAGCTATGATCATGTTTATGCAGGTGAGAACAAGGATTCATTTAGTTCCCCCCCCCAGGGTGTTTATGGTATGACATCTACATGGAAAACTGATTGAAAAATTATGTGGTCCTCGCCATACGTGGAAAATTAAAAATGAAAACTCCCCCATATTTCACGACTTCTGCATATCGCGCGTTTTTCGCAGAGTAATACGACGCCACTTCACGTGAAACGGGTAGTCGTGAAACACTGGATACTTCTATTGCAGTGCCTAGGAACTCCCATCGCTCTGAAAACCACGAGTGAAATTTTCCTATCTGGGAAATTCAAAACTAGTTGCCCCATCACCCGTACCACTCCTCTGCCAACTCATCAGGCCGGGTTTGCAATGCTGGAGGCCGGCTCCGTACGCGTGTACAACGTCCAGGCTATCCTTATGAAGAATCTACTAGATCTATGCATAAGTAGAAACACATAAAAAGTAACCTCAAGGATTCGCTTCTCGCAGGTCCGATCGTATGGTGGCTCATAGGATGGGGTCTTGCGTTCGGCTATGTCGTCGACCCTCTTAGTGGAGAGCTCACTAGTGGCACTGAATTCAGCGGTGAGTGGCGGTGTTGAGGAAATATATATTTGACCTCCTCAGTTGAGTATATAAGTTCGCATAAACTGATGAGAAATTTCCATATTGTCACTAAAAAATGTATTACTACTTCGGTAATTTTCAGGAGGCAGTGGTTATGCTGGTACGGGGCTTACTGAGTACTGCATCGAATTTGACGCTATCACTGGTGACTGTGTGGATGAGGCTCCTGCTCCTCTCGGGAAACCCAAGTTCAACCCCGACGAGTTCTTCTTTTTCTGGACATTTTCCGCGGCTGCGTCTACTATTGTTAGTGGAGGAGTCGCTGAAAGGGTGAGTTTCTTAATTTCGTGGCGAGTGACGGAATCAGTGTGATGAGTATGATGAGTTTCCTCACTTTTTTAGGAATTTGCACCCACGAGTTCGGGTAGAAATATTAAAAATTCAACAAGAAATTCCTCCAAAATTTCCTCAGAATTTTCATATTGTCACCAACCCACGTTGGTGAACATATGAATATTTTCTCACCCTGTTAATGACATCTATAGTATTCATCTAGATTTGTCCAAATTTGTCTTCTGTTCGATGAATTTGAACTTGCTCTTTCCGAATTCATAAATTTCATTTATCTAATTACGAAAATCGAACTGTCATTTCGCATTTGAACTTTCATCTCGTGAGAAACTCCTTTCACTCGTCGAAATTCGAAAAAAAAATTTTCGTCAAATTTCTTCTTTCAGTTGCCGAATTTGAGATTGAAAAAGTGTAGACATATCTATAATATTATGAATCTAAACTGCAAGTTTCCACACTACATTGTGAAAATCCTAACATGATTTTGCGTACAAAAATCAATAAAAAAATTTCCCAGAATTTCCATATTTTTACCAGTACATATAGTTGACCATGTGCATATACTCCCCCTCAACATAGAACGACTTCTCCTTAGGTTCGCTGTTCATCCTACTTCCTGTTCTCATCGGTTATGTCTGGTTTTATCTACCCCGTGCTCGTGGCCTGGCTCTGGAGTGGCCACGGCTGGCTCAGTAAACCAACAGATGGTTTAGATGCAACTTATTACGATTTCGCCGGTAATTTTATTTTTTTCGGGAAAAAAATTCTCGGAAAATTTTCTCTTCGGGCAGGTTCTGGAGTCGTTCACGTTACGGGAGGAATCGCCGCTTTGGTCGGCGCGAAAATTCTGGGCCCGAGAAAAGGGCGATTCGATGAGATGGTGGATCAAACAGAATTCATCCCACATTCGATACCGCTGATCGTTTTGGGTAATCCGAAGGTCCCTGGTTCGAATCCCACGGCATGCATTTTTAAGGTACGATGATTTTATGGTTTGGT